GAAAAAAAAAAAAAAAAAAAAAGAAAAGAAATTAAATTAAATCACCGCCGCCTCTCCAGCGGTGCCGCGGCGGGTAAGGGGAGCGGCGGTGGCTGGGCAGAGAGGAGGCAGAGCGCGGGGGGCGAGCCGGGGAGCACCGCGCTCTCCCTCCCAAACTTTGATGATGACCATGACTACGATGGCTGACGGGCTGGACGCGCAAGACTCCTCCAAATCCGCCTTCATGGAGTTCGGGCAACAGCAGCCGCCGCCGCCGCAGCCGCCGCCGCCGCCCCACTCCCAGCAGAGCTCKCCGGCAATGGCCGGAGCCCACTACCCGCTGCACTGCCTGCACTCCGCCGCCGGCTCGCACCCGCACCACCAGCATCACCACCACAGCTCGCCCTACTCCGGCAGCGCCGGCTCCTACAACCACCGCTCGCTGGCCGCCTACCCCTACGTGAGCCACTCGCAGCACAGCCCTTACCTCCAGTCCTACCACAACAGCAGCGCGGCCAGCCAGACGCGGGCGGACGATGCAGGTGAGCCGGCACCGCTTCCCGAACCCGCTGCCAGCTTCTCCCCCCACTCCCTCCATCCCCGGGCCTCTTCCCGGCCCCCCCCCTCCGGGCACCTGCATAACGACCCCCGCCGTGCCCCCCGCTCCCGCCGAGGCAGGCGCCGGCCCTGGGTGCGCGGGACGGCGGCTAGAAAAGGTGGGGGTTGCCTGTTTCCGCGGCCCCTCCGCGGGCCTACTGCTGCGGTACCGGCAGCGGGGCCGCCGCGCTCCCTCCGCGCCAGCGGCGGCTGCTGGCGGTACCGCGGCTCTGCGCACCGGCGCCTTCCCCGCTAGCCCCGCTGCCGGCGGCGAGGGGCTGCACTCGGCGCTCCTTTGTTACGGCGGGACCGGCTTTAGGCAAAATTCCTGCTAACACCTGAGGAGTGAAAGTTTCCAGGCGAGCGGGTCGCATTCCGCTCGGGGGCCGTCTGATTTATGTATTTCTTTTTTTACAGGGAGCCGTACATATCCATCCGGAGGAGCACGGGAGGGGGGCGGGGAGGGGGGGCAAAAGCATTGTTAAAAGTCTTGGACTGGTGATTTACTGACCACCAAACTGGCGACGCGAAGTCAATTAGCCGAGTAAAACCTGGATGGCCCTGGAACAAGGCATCCTCAGCTTCGCAGACCCAGCTCTGCGTTTTCAATTTTTAAAAATATTGGGGTTTTTTTTTTGTTTCTTCCCGGGAAGAAGGGGAATGTGCCCACTATGCCCGGACAGCTACTTTTTCTCCCGGTAGTTCCCAAGCAGTAGCCTGTGCCGCGCGTGTCAGTAAGGAGACGCAGCCTGCGTGTATGCGGTGGGGTTGAACAGGCGTCGGGACAGACTTTGGCGTTTTTAGGACCCGTGGCAGCCAAAATACCCACGTTTGATAGCTAAGGAKGGTGATGTTTCAGCTGTGTTGTTTTGCTTGCAGATCAGCAAAAAACCACAGTGATTGAAAACGGTGAAATCAGATTTAATGGAAAAGGGAAAAAGATTCGGAAGCCTCGAACCATTTACTCTAGTCTACAACTCCAGGCTTTAAATCATCGCTTTCAGCAGACTCAGTACCTGGCACTTCCAGAGAGAGCTGAACTGGCAGCTTCATTAGGACTTACCCAGACACAGGTAATTACTGGGAATCCCAAATTTACTGAAATCCTTCTCGAGCAATAAAGGCCAAGCAAAGTATGATGCTCCCTAAACATTTTGGCCTCTGTCGGGAACGGCAGGAAAGGTAACGCACACGGTTCCTATCTCTCTGTGCTAGGACTTACCTAATGCGCGACAGAGATCGGGCTACCGCAGAAGGAGCTGAAAGCGCCCTTCCCTCGGTCGTCTGCGAGCAAGTGCTCCTTTTGATGCCACACATAACGTTTTAAAATTGCCTATATTTTCGGATAATTCCGGCACCGAGATGCAATTGCCCAGCTGTGAAAAGGAGAACAAAACAAAGGCAAGGAATCGCTGGGCCTGAGATAGAGCTGAAAGCAAAGCTGCCTCGTAGCAACGTATAGGTAGAGGGGAAGCAGGAACGCGTTAGGAAATACCTGTTAAATCAATAGTTAATTCACCCTGGATGACTAACGCAAATGCAGTGGTTAGCCTTGGGCAAAATGTACGGAAGGTGATAATAGATCTGAAGATCAAAGACAGCCGTGTACAAAATTATGGCAGGTTAAGCCATAGTTAAGTGTGGTTGGAGTAGCTGTGCCATTCTGCTAATTTAAGCTTGAAAGACATACGAGGCATTACGGGCTTACCACGCTGGGGTTTGTGGAGAAGTGCATGGATAGATGGGATCAATTCGGGTAAAATGTTATCATGTGAATCTAGGAGCTTAACAAATAACTTCAGGATTTTATCATTGTCATGGGTAACAGTCACTTCCAGACAGCGATTTTTAAATACTCAGCGAACATTAATGATGGAAATGGACCTGATGATTTTGCAAATGGGATTTTAGTATCCTTAGCATGCACGCTGTCTCACCGTTGTCTCGCTTTCTCTCTCTCTCGCACGCATCGATATGTTTTAGGAGCCCGATCTTGAGCTTGCAGCTAGAGGAGCACCCCTGCTTATCCCCCAGCATTATGATAGCAAAATTTCAGAGGTCAAAAACACACGGGGGATTTGCTTTCTTTGTTTGATTATATATATATATATAAATTTTTTTTTAGAAAAATATATATTGTGCATATATGTCTTATCTATACATAATTTCTAYGATAATTCTGATCTGCCAGTGGGCCTGATCCGTGCACACCTTATYGAGTGCAGACTCCCTCTTCGGGAATTCTGTTGGATTAGGAGCAGGATGAGACCCAAAGGAATGTTGATATACTATTAATCACTGAGAAAATAAAATCATTCATTCTTTTAAAGTACGTTTTAATATAAATCCACGATCCTGGTTCCATTATGCCCCCTCCCCCGCCACATCAGCGTGGACTGCTTGATCTGATCGTGAGGATTTTGGATGCACGATTTCTTTGTAAGATACCCTTTGTCTATTGGCTCTTGTCTCCTGGCACAAAATCATATGATTGCCCGTGTTTGACAACAGTTTGCCCGAATGATCAAATGACCTCCAAAATTCTGAATGAGGCGCTAAAACAGGAGACCTCAGAGCATGTAGTCTGTTTCAGCTATAACAATCTGACCTGCCCAGGGAAAACAAGGTTCCAGATTAAAACCTGCCWCCCTCTCGCTTTCCAGCTCTGCTTTGCCTCCCCTGTTCTCTCCAGCCGCATTCAAAACCCGAGAGCAGCCGTAGTTCCTTCCCCTCCTTCCCCTCTCCCCATCCCCAGCCCCATACCCGACTGGCGTGTGCCCTCAAGACCTCCTCCAGATTAGACCCCCGGCCCCCGAGGTCTTCCCTGCTGTGCCCTGGGCTCTGACAGCAGCCTAATATCTAATAATGCGTTCTGGTTTACAGGTGAAGATCTGGTTTCAGAACAAACGCTCCAAATTCAAGAAGCTGCTGAAGCAGGGCAGTAATCCCCACGAGAGCGACCCTCTGCCCGGCTCCGCTGCCCTCTCCCCTCGCTCTCCAGCTCTGCCTCCAGTCTGGGACGTTTCAGCCTCTGCCAAGGGAGTCAATATGCCTCCAAACAGCTACATGCCTGGCTATTCTCACTGGTATTCTTCTCCACATCAAGACACAATGCAGAGACCACAAATGATGTGAATTGTCCAAGAGAAATAATCTCTCAAGAACGCCTCGTCTCGACATGGCAAGAAGTTCCCCTGCTTTGCCAAGCCGTGCCAGCTAACAGGCTCTGTGTGAACTTGTAGAAGCGGCAGAGACAGAGTGGCTTTATTTTTTTTTTTTTAAAGTAACCTCAGCGATTGATCTTGAACAGAAAGACACAATTTTCATTCTGGCGCACAGAAGACACTTCTCTTTAGGATATTTTCCTTTGGACTCCAAGGCACCAGCCTCTTTCTCTGTGGAGTATACGTCAAAACAAACTTTTTACAGACTTTGCCCACAAGAACCTGAATCTACCATGGCAGCCGTTTTTACTTGTTTAATGAGCTAAAGACATTACATGATGAAAGGGAGACTAGTCAAAGCTCCTTCATTTTTATTCACCAAATCCGGACTGGGGAAAGGATTAAAAGACAGAAGAAGAGATTTTTAAAAAAAATAAGATGGGGGGAAAGAAAAGCAGAACTGGTTGAAAACTGAAAACATACTGTAAGATTAGAACATTACCACGAAGCAAAATCTGCATGCTTTCTCAAAATGCAATGGGCTGCGGCTTAAAAGAAACCACCGTCTCTCACGCAAAGAGCCCCCTCATCCGCACAGACCCTCACCCGCACTCAGCCGGACAGACTCCCGGAGACGAGCAGTAAAGACAGAGCAAGGGATTCGCGGCCAGACCCGCTGCCGCGGGCTGGGGAAGGAAGGTTCAGCGCTGCCCGGCGGCAGCCTCAACCACTGAGGGAGAGGGACCTTTCCCCGAGCAACCTTTCTGTATATATTGTTGAATTTTAGTTGTATATATACTTTGTATGTTTTTGTCTTCTTTCATATATAGAGTAAAAGCCACAAAACGCCYGCCTGGCTCCTATCTCTCTTCACCTTAGCGGATCCCCACCTGCCCCGACTTGCCCCCCCAGATCAGTCCGGGCAGAGGGATCCTTGTGCCCAGCTTGCCTGAGTGCACCGGCGCCCCTACCAAAGCATATATATGCGAGCAAAGAAAGAAAAGATGAAGTGGGGTGGGGTAGCTGGTGGTTTGGTTGGTTTTGAGGCTACGACTTAAAGACAGGAGATATTGAGTCCACAAAGATACGCCTAGCCGAAGTTCCTAATCACCCGGCCATTTCTGCTGCGATTTCACTGCTCGGCTGCTCAGCTGAGCTGAGCTTTCTCGCCGAGGCAAAGCTCAGAGCCCTGTCTTTCTTCCCAAAGGCTGGAGACTCCAAATTATTAAGAAAGGAGGCGCCCTCCTTTGTTTTTAAAGAGCAGACAATGCAAGCTGAGGAATGTTTTGCAAAGCCCTGAGAGGTGCCCAGGCACACAACACGCTGTCCAGCCAGCTCCAGCCGCACCAGCTTGTGGAAAGCACAGCAACTACTGACAATGAAAAGCCTTTTCCTCAACCAAGCTGGGTGCCCCATACTGCGAGAATTAATGGCTAGAGACCTGGGCATCCTTCAAATTATGAACCTTGAAACCACTGAGCCATTTATCAGAAGTCAATAGAGATCCTCAGAGTGCTCCATATAATGACAGCTACATACAGTCGTGCAAAAGGACAGTCACTATAATTAGACACAAAGCAAAGACTACTTACCAATATACCAGTTTTTTGGGGGGTGTTTTTTGGTTTGTTTTTTTTTTGAGCAACTTCCACGCTCAGTCAGTCTTCAGAGTGCTTTAAAACCGATCAGTCTTGTCATTTTCTACCATTCGTATTGTTACATTAGGAAAAATGTTTTCTTTTCTTTTTTTCCCCTTCCCACTGTGAAACTTTGGGTTCAGAGCTCCCCAGGATCAATTCTGAACAAAGCCTCCAGCTGCAGTGCCATCCAATTTGAAGCAGACATTGGGGACAATTTAAGGTTTTTATCCACAAGAAGGTTTTTTTCCATTCTCTTAAATGCAGCCATAATTAGAGTAATTTTTCATGTAGCCCGCTGATTACAGCGTTTTTACCGTCAAAGATAATTACCTGTAATTTTCTTCCACTTTTAATACTAAAAAGCCATCTTTATTTAGATTCAGGAACAGGAAAGGCGAAACAAAAGAGGAAAATTATTCTGTTATTCATACACAAATTGCAGAGACGTAGGGCCTAAAATTGAAAATTAACCAAAATTATAATGCTGAAAAGAATGGAAGAGGCTTCAGAAGTACAGCTGGTAGTGGGGCTCACTGAATTATTCAAATGACACTGGAGAGAAAGCTACCATACATTTAAACCAACAGCATTGTGTGCATCTCTCAGAAAACCCCGCTTTACAACCCCCACGCCGGCCCCTGCGCGGGCTCACCCTCGCCTGGCASAAGGGCGGCGGACACCCCGGTGAGCGAATCCCACAGCCCGGGGAGCCCGGCCCGGCGGGTCCCGGCCCCCACGGCCCCCGCAGGAGCCTTAACCCTTTCACTGCATCGGCCCAGCGGCTCGGCGGCGGGCGGTCCGCCCCTGCTCTGCGGGGCTGGGGGTGCGTGAGGCAGGGGGGCTTCGCTGCCTCTCGTGGGTTTGCAGGGGACCAGTCCTCCCCTGCACCCCGCCCGTGGATGCCGGTGCGGAAAGCCTCTGGGTGGCCTCCTCCCCCACGAGTGATTCCTCACGCAGGCTTTAGAAAAAGCCCCGACAACAAGCGAGCGAGCGAACAAATAAACGATAATAGTAATAATAAAAGAATAAAAGCCCCATTAGCTTAGTAGCGTGGGAGAAGGTGGGAAAGGTAGGCCTTCCCGGGAGCGCGGTGGGAGCGAATGGCAGCAGCGGCTCCCACTCGCGCGGCAGCCGCCCCGGGAGACTCTCGTGAAACAGCGTCATCTATGGATGGAGCAGCGGCAGCTCCCCGTGCCAGCGCCAAACCTGCCGCCGCCGGGCTGCCAGCGCCGGCTCCGCCACCGCCCACCCGCCGCCGGGCTCCACCGCCCCGGGGCCGCGGAGAGCCGCGGAGAGCCGCGGAAAGGCGCGCTGCCGCCTCCCCTCCGCGGGCACGGGTGGACGGGGTTGGCCCGGGCCTCGCACGGTTTCTCCGCCGGCCGCCGAGTCCCGCGCCGCCCCTCCGGCAGCCCGTCGGGATTCCGTCCGCATCACCGCCCGCAGCCCCTGGCAGCATCGGGGTAAAGGGGGGTCATATCTGCCGGGGTCCGGCCCAGAGAGGGAAACTACCGGCACGAGAATGAGCGCGAATGCGGGGGAATGAGCGAAGACGGAGCGTGCCTCGACGGACAAGGCGCGGAGCAGTCACAAACCAACCCCAAACCCAAGCGAGCACCAAAACTTACCCCTCTGAAAATCTGCTAAGCAAGGATCGGGGTCTAGAAATCTATACTGAACGGAAGCAGTGGAGAATATTTTTCTGAGTCTCAGGGCAGAAGCTCTTTCTCTATATTCTTGGTTGAGTGAGCACATCCAGGTGTGAAATTGTTTGCACACCCCAGCACCTCTTATATTGCCAGCAAAATTAGCTGTTATTACTGTCACTGTTTAGTGATGGTTAGCTTGATAAAAAAAACCTGCTGTAATCAAGACCTGGCGCATCTTTGCAAATTACAGATAATTGTAAACGTCCAGATTATGATAATAGCATCCTAATCCAGCCTGCAATATAATTATTACAGAGTGTTACATCTGAAACTGTCCAGTAGGGCTAATTCAGCCATTATTTAGACCCTATTTTTGCACTGCAAATGGGTTGCTGAGTTGAAAATGTACGATTGTAATTTCACGGGGCACTCAATGAGTAATGGTATAGGGAGGGAAAAATACAAAACTGAAATGTGAACAGTAGCGATCAAATCAAACTCTGAAGGACAAAAGAGTGTTTGATTCATAGGGAATGAGACGAGCGGGAATTAAGAAAATAGCAAATCAGTGGTCTGAAGCGTTACGTGTCCAAATCTCAACGAGTGTGAGCCTGATGTGCAGTCAGGGGCTGCTGGTTCGGCTCCCGCCTTGCATCAGTCCGCCTCTCAAGCTCGACTCTTCCCGGCAGCCTCWCCCCGGCACCCGAAGCATCCCCGAGCTCCCCACCCATCCCCAAAAGCGGGCTCGCCATTGTCTTGTGCCTTCTCTCAGGTGACTGAACGTCACTTTCGGGCAAGGAGCCTCGGGAGCATCGGAACCGGGCGGAGGAGAGTGCGGGATGCGGGACACCGGGGCCGGGCAGTCTCCGCGGTGGGCTGTGGGGCCGGCCGCCTTTAGCGCTCCCGCGCACCCGCTGGACCAGTCCTCAGGGGTCCTTAGGGAAATTATCACAGAACCGACTCAATTGTAATTAATTAACCAAAAGAGCCTGGCTAACAGGACTACCTGCAGCTAGCGAGGTTAACTCACTGGCTAGCTGGCTTTCGACTCCTGATTAACTTTTATTAACCCTGGACACGAAAYACACAAACCAGCTTCATTTTTTAATGGTCTAAATCATCAAAGCGCGGTTACCGCCCGACCGGTTAGTCTCCGCAGGGTCCAGATGAAGAGAAGCAGCGCCCGGGACTGGCCCCGTGGGCAGGAGAGCTGCCGGTCCCGGCCCTTGCTGGCCTCTCCCGGGCGCAGCCGCTCCTGGCAGCCCGCAGTCTCACTCTGCGCCCTTTTCTCCTTTCGAATTAGTAAAAATAAGGCGAATAAAAGAAAACTCAGTGGATAGAGAGAGGCGAAAGCCCTATAAAACGCGTTATATGGTGCGTATCGAGGAGACCGTAAAGATCTCCTGGAATGGAGGGCCAGCTCCGCAGCCAGGCAGATGATGCCGCTGCAGAGCACGAAGCTGGGTCAGGATCCGGGCCGGCGAGTCGGGCTGACCCATTCTGCAAAACCCAAGCTGAGGTTTAGACAGGCTCTCCRGGAGTGCCGAGGGGCAGGCGGCAGGGCAGGTTCTGGCCGGGGCCGGCGCTCTGGGCCCTCACCTGAGGGGAAATAAGGAGGTGAGGGAGCCGGGAGTTTTACCCTCGGCCTTGAAGGTCGTGTCAGTGGAAGGTGTTTCCATAGACAATTGCGGCGTGGGTGCGTGGCGGGATTCATCGGGTCTGTATTTCAGGCAGATAAACTATTGTTTATCCTCCCCAAATCACGTGTAAAMAGACGCGCCACCGAACAAAGAAAAGAACTGTTTAATTGATGCAACACAGATTCTCCCTAAAAAGAGAAAGGGAGGCTAAATGTAAACTCCGCGTTTCCTATTTTCACGGCTCTTATCTGACCTATAAAACAGGTTATTGGCTTACTGCAAGCAATCGCTTAAATGACTGAAAGCAAGAAGAGGGGGTTCCCACACGTCTCCCCCTTCCACCGCCCCGATTTTCCTGAAGCAATAGATCTCCTTTCCGTAATCCACAACCGAAACRCCTAAAGTCTGTCAGTCGCAAAATTGCGTGGCAGAAATCTTTAATCGATGCCACATGTGGGATGCACTCTGGGGACACAGCGCTGCCGGCGGTGGAGCGGGCAGAGCGCGGAGGCCCGCGCAGGCGGCGCGGCCGCGGGGGAGCGAATGCACGGGGGAGACCGCGGGGAGTAAGAGGGCGACAGGAACGCCTGACAAGCGGGCTGCCCTGCCGCGGTGACAGGTTGGAGGGGGTGCTTTTTCTTTCCTCGGGAAGGAGCTGGAGGGAAACCGAAGCACTTGGCGAGGAGGCAGCGCTTCCCGGCTGAAGGCTCTGCCCGGCGGGCGGTGCGGGGATGCCCGGGCAGGGACAGCTGGGCTCGGGCGGAAGCGGGAAGGTGCTCCTCCCGGGTCCGTAGGCGGGGGTGGCGGGCACTCTGTGTGTCTGGGTGTGGGTGTTGTTAAGTGTGAGCCCCAAGAGGGGGCAAGCGCCGCCGGGAGTGGATGTGCTGCGGGTGTGAGAGCCCCAGGGGTGCAGGCAGTGTCAGGAGCTGTCGATCTGGGACAGCGGGGTCTGCAGGCTGCTCTGTGTCTGTGTGTCTGTGTGTCTGTGTGTCTGCGCGTCTGTGTGAGTGTATGTGTGTGTGTGTCAGGCCCTGTGGCTCAGCCCTGGAGCCGCTCGGCACCCACAGGAATGTGGCTCCTCTCGGCTCCCCGAACTGCCCCGGCTCCACATGGAAGTGGCCGCCAGGAAACCAGAAGGGAGGGGAGGAGGGGGAGGGGCGGGGAAAGCCCCGAGCCAGCAATCCGCCGAGCCCAAACCCAGCATCAGACAAAGGACAGTTCATGCCATCCCTTTCCCGGGGAGGCAAGGGGGGAGGCCCGGCCAAGCTAGGCTCCCTCCGGCCACTGCGGGAGCMCAGGGGGTGCACCCACACGGGAGGAGGCGCCGGGGTGTGCCTGCCCGTGTGTGAGGGGACAGAGTGGACAGGAGCATCCCTCTCAGCCCGGGACTCTCCCGGAGGGGCGGGTGGCCGTAGATTCCGGGTGTACATCGAGGCCGAGGCGACGAGGGCCGAGGTCATTTCTTATCCTCTCTGGGGAGGGATGCCAGGCTTTCTCCCAACACCAACTCGATCTCGGAGGAGGAGAAATTAAGCAGGGAAAGGGACTGGCATGGAAACCCAGCCGAGCTGACTCGGCTGGCTTGGAGAGGCGAGCGATGCCCAGTCCAGCGGCGTCAGTGTGAATTCCCATCTCTGCCCGGCATGCTGCCCGCCGGCATTCCGCCTTCCCGGAGATGTTCCTGCGCCATCTGCCCAGGCCCTCCCAGCCCCGGCAGGTTACCGTAACCAAACAACCCCGCGGCAGCTCCTCAAAGAAAGGGGTGGGTGGACCGACCTGGGAAATTGACTTCCACCTCTTATGTCCAAACCTTTCTGCAAAGGCAAGTGACCTCGGGGAGGGGAGAATATCTTACTTGCAGGTTGAATGCTTGTCCAGAGGGAAATGAGGGAAAGAACGGAAGAAAATGAAAAGGTCGAGTTTTAAAAAAAATTCTTGCACAGGATGGGAGTGAGCAGAAGAGACAAAGCGGAGCTTTTCATCAGCCCCAGAGTCACGGAAAGTCCCTGAAACCTTGCGAGTGAAATGAGCAGAAGACGGTCACCAGAGCCGCTGAAGAGATGGGGAGCGCCGGGGCACCGCGGCAGGGCGGCCGCTCTCCGGCAGCGGGCAGGGGTGGGCAGCCGGCGGTGGCCCCCGCCACCCTGCCCCCGGCACCCCCGCACCCTCCCCGGCGTGCAGGGAGCACAACCGAACAAACTGGTCTATTGTACTGCAAGACATTTACCAACCCCCAAACCTGTTACAAAACAGCAAACCCGGGCTTCTTTCTTTGGGGAGAAAACTACGCACACGCACACTCACGCACACGCACAAAACATGGCAGGCRGGAGCAGAGGGAGAAGAAAGGAGGGGGAGGGCACAGGGGAGGAAGACTGGAGACAGGTAAGTGCGCCCCAGGGCAGGAGCGTGCCTTTTCAGGCCTCGCCTCCCCCCCTGCCAGCACTCTCCCCGCTCGGCTGCCAGAGGGGCATCTTTCATCTCGGGGATCCTTCCAGAGGCGCCTTTGGCACATTCGCTGCTGTCGCCGTACCCGGCATGGCCGTGAGTTACCGCTCCCTCCCACGGATGGGGGTCCCCGTGGGAACCTACGCCGCCGCGGGGCCCCGCGGGCCGGGGTTTCTAMGGGAAGAGGGCAGTGCTCCGGCCATCTCGTCGAAGCCGTGCCTCCAGCACTGGGCAGSGCTAGCGACTGCTCTGACGCAAGGGTCTTTTCCCCCTAAATCGTGTAGAGATAAAACAAAAACAATAAAAGTACCTCTGCAACGTCCCTCCTTCAGCCGGAGCCGCCGCAGGCTTTTAGCAGGAGCGAGGGGAGCGGGGCCCGCATTTTATCCTTTTCTCATATTTAGTGGCTCCCTTTGACGGAAACGTAATTTGTATAATTAGCCGAGYGCACACGGGCGACTGATGGGCTGTGGAGTGTGCAGCTCTCGACGCTAATTGCTCTCAGGATAGGATTCGGGGCGACTCAAGGCGAGAGATTTGCTTTCTCGCGTCAGGATGGGCAGCTTTCCCTTCAGCTTACAGCACCGTGCGATAAGATGTACGCGCTCTTGCCAGAGCCCCTTTCCCAGCGGGGAGAGAGCACCGCAGCCCCTCGGCTCACCCGTGGGTACCTGCAAGGGCCAGATCCTGCCAGCATGCCCGGACAGTGGTGGCACTGCACGGCACTGGAACAGAATGTGACCTGCCAGTCCCATCCTCTTTCCTCACTTTCTCTCTACAAGCAAATTAGTATTATATTTTTTCCCTCTTATTAACAGAAGAAGGGGTAATTTGGAAACGTTTCTCGTGGTCGAAATAATTTTATTTTATTCAGAATATACAGTTTAATTCCTCTATCTACAATTATTTACAGGGTTAAAATAASATTGAAAAAAGTCTCTGGAAAAGTTGAGGTCATAGATTTCAAGGCACCAACGATAGTGTCCACAGCTGAGCCAAAAAATGTCC